GTCTTCAGGATAATGATTAGTAACTGAAGTTTTACCGAATTTGGAGAACTACAAGGTATCCTGTCAACTTATCGACGTAAAACTTTATTGTTGTAGGCTTCCTGACTTGTTAGACGTCAGTACAGTCCGCTCGCGGGAGTCAATGCCTTTTAACATGTAGGGCCAGTGGAATACAGCTGAACCCTAGCCAAATCACACGGCAGTCGGGTCGCTGAATATCGAACTGTTCCCCGATTCTCGTCAAAATCAGGGGCAACTCACGAACATTGGTTAATTGCATGCCATGAACTGGTCCATGCGGTGAGGGTCTCGCTCTGTTTCATGTACCTACAATTAATAATGTATTTTTGTAGTAATTGTTTGTGTTCAAATGGTTCAAATGGTTGTGGATGGAATAGAAGAAGCTTTCGCTTAACAGGCTTCCGTGTCTAGTAGCAGGGGATCACCGAATCCTCCAGGCAGGAACCTAGGTATGTTAACAATAAAAGAGGAAAAGAAATTGGTAAATCATAGTGCGATACTATCCTTAATCGTTAAGAAAAGATCAAGTTGCCTCTTGAAGGACTCCTGGCAAGTCGCTTGGACTAGCTCGGCCGGCAGCGAATTCCAGCATTTGATAACTCTTAAGTAGTAGAAGTTGTGTCTACAGTTCGTTCTGCTATGTTGTGTCTCCAGTTTTCGGGTGTTACCTCTCAGGTTAGTGTTGGAACTAAGCTTAAGTGGGTGTTTAAGAGGATGTCCAGAAGTGTTAAGGATACTATAAGCCATCAGAAGGTCACCTCTAAGACGTCTATACTCTAATGGGTAAAGGTTTAGTGAATGGAGGCGTTCTTTGTAAGATTTAAATGTGAGTCCTCGAACTGATTTCGTGGCTCGCCGTTGGATACGCTCCAGGGTGTCTTTATCCTTTTGGAGTGAGGGGGAAGTACTATGTTTCCGTACTGTAAATGGGGACGGATGAAACTATTAAAGATTATATGGAAAGTTCTTCCTTCAAACTGTCCAAAAATGCGCTTCAATGTTACCAGTGCAAGGTTTGCTCGGAATGCATTTTTATCACAGTTAGTGTAAGACTTAAAATCATGGGGCACCAGGACTCCTAAATCTTTTTCGACTTGGGATGCTACTAGAGAGGAGTTTCCTAAGTTATAACTGTAGTCTGCGACATGTCGCAGATGGACTACTTTACACTTTGAAGTGTTAAAGGTAAGTCCGTTATCGTCTGCCCAATTTCGAAGTCGAGTCAGATCCTCCTGAAGTGCTTGTATATGGTCTTGATTACGTATCTCTCTCCAAAGTTTAACATCATCGGCAAAGAGTAATAATTCAGACGTTACCTGTTGAGGAAAATCATTTATGTAGATCAAGAAGAGAAGAGGTTCTAGTACTGAGCCCTGGGGGAACTCACTAGGACATTCCACAGCCTGAGATAAGGTGAAGTTAATCCTGACCTTAAAATGTCGATTTTTCAGATATGAAATGAGCCAATCAATTAGAGGTGGTTTGATACCTAGTCGTTTGAGCTTATTGATAAGACACAAGTGGTTAACCCTATCAAAAGCTTTTGAGAAATCAAGGTAAATGATATCAACCTTCCCCTTGCGATCGAGGATGCTTGTGCATCTGTCCACCGCAGTCAGTAAGTTGGTTACACAAGAGAAGCCCCTCCTGAAACCATGCTGTTGGGGTGAGAAGAAATTTAAGGACAGTAGATAGTCGTTTAAACCGTCGCATATCAGGGACTCCATGAGTTTTGAAGGTAATGACAGAAGAGCCACCGGCCGATAACTTGGAGGTTCATTGCGTCGACCATCTTTGAAAATTGGTGTGATGTGAGCCAACTTCCAATTTTCCGATAGTTTGCCTCAGGTGAGCGAGTTGAAATGTCTGGGAGTAATGTTCAGCCAGAAGGTTAGCGGCGTCGCTATCGCTGTTGGTCGGGCCGTTAAGACCCAGCAGTTGGGAAACTCCAGTTTTGGCTTGACGAAGAGAGGCTGCATAACGGAATAAGCTCTTAGGATTAGAGGCAAATTTGTCCATAAGCTTTGTCTAGTACTGAAACCTATCTCCTCTTATAGCCTTCCTGCATATGTTCCTTATATGTTTATATTGCCTGTACGCTCCGTCGTTGTTAGTTCGTTTGTATTCCGCCCAACAGTGCCTTTGGTGGCTTAACTGGCGAAGGGTACGGTTATTGATTATTGAAGGTGGCTTGCAGCTTTTGGGAACCGTTTGAGGAACTGAATGGTTTGTAGCACATAAGAGCGTGTCCAGCAAGAAGTCCCAATGACCGTCTACATTGAGTTGGGGGTGAACATCCCAAACCACCTGTTGTAGATAGTGGTGTAGAGCTGGCACATTCAACCGTTTAAAATTCCAACGCAAGTTATTGGTGGGGTATCTTAGCTTAGTTTTGATGACAAAACTGAAGGCTATGACGGCATGATCGCTTTTCCCAGGGGAGCCAGGATTGAGAGGTTGTCAACTAGGACTTTTTAGTTTGTGAATACACAGTCTAAGCGCGATGGTGTCTGACTCTCTTCAACGAGTTGCCGACCTCACATTTTCGTATAATCCCGAATTCTCAGTGAGGTTGAAGAACCGAGCTTCAGTTGAGTTTTCACCTCCAATATACGTATGTTCCGCGAAATTGACTCTAGGGAGATTGAAGTCCCCCAGAATCAGGATATGAGTGAAACCGAGACGCGTAGAGCGGGACAGTCCTTCCAGCATACGACTGTCATACTCGATGTCAACAGTGGGCTTCCTATATATGACTCCAACTAGGCACCTCAAAGTAGTAGACAATCTTACAGAGCACCATAATAACTCATCAAGATTGTTAAACTCATGGTTGTGAACTTGGTGTACCTCCAAACAAGATCGTATGTATACGGCTACTCCATCCCCAATTCCTGTTTTTCTGTCGTTGCGGAACAAAGACATCCCAGGTAATGCTAACTATTGGTCCGAGAACTGAGAAGATATCCAGGTTTCAGATATTCCTATCAGATGGGCCTTATTTGCGTTCCTAAGTTCATGCAACTCATCCAATTTGTTTGGTGGACTCGCGGCGTTCATATATAAGCAGTTTATGCTCTCAATTTTGAACGCGTGAGCTTCGTCCTGTTTTTCGGTATGAGCCTTACGTGAATGGACAGGTAGCCCACCCATATGAGGTCTTCCGAGGTGGTAGACTATGTCCTTTACACGTTTTTTTATCGTCTAGACAGCCCACAAGTGGGATGGTCAGCTCCAACTTGCCTTTGTGTTTGGTCCTAGCTTGGTATGGCCTATCCGGGTGCATGGGGATTCCAGGTGGCAATTGACGTCTGTTGGCACGAAATGACATGTGAGAAGATGGGAAGGTTATCTTCATTAGACGGGGTCTAGGGTCACCATCCTTCTTGTATAGTCTCGTCACATGCTGAGTCAGTATGTGTTTGAGCCTCATGGACTGCTTGATGAATTTCCATTCCCTAATTATCAGAGTTTGCTTGACTAGGGTTCGTGTTTTCCGGTACACCTCGCACAAGGATATTTCTTCCGCGGAAAAACTCGCGAGATTCTTTGGGGATGTTCCGGGTGAGATTGCGCTCAGAATACGGTATGTCGGGCAGTATTCTTACGTTCCCATCGGATTTCAGTAAATGACTAGCTAGCAGGATATCCTCTACGTCAGTAGCATTCTTAAGTGTTACACGAAGTAGCCTTGGGTGATTTTGATGCTTACATTCCTTTCCCCGAGTGAGCCGTGTGATCGTCAGAGGCTGTAATCTAGGAACTTCAAGCTTCTTATTTAATTCACCCCAGAGCATCCTGTCATTTTTGTCCTGCAAACTGAGAGGAAGGTCAGGGTTGTCTATGAGGTTCATGATTATGAGAGAGTCATCACGAACCGTTATTGTTTTCCCAAGTTTTCCAGTGTATTTAGGTTAAGCACCTTGTTGTTTGGGGGTCGAAGTACGTTTCTGAATCCCAGGCTCTTTGATGACCGGACGGACATTCTTGAGGGTGGACTGTGCGACCAAGTCACCAGTTGTTTTCCATACAGCAACACTTAAGATGCTCAGGTTAGGCGGTGACGCCTGGTTCTTCTTAGCTCTATTAACGTGGGTCGAATCACCTACAGGGCTTTTGGGCACCACTGTTGAGTTCAGGGACCCTGAGCTAGGAGACCCGAGTTTACTTAGGGAGTCGAGTACCGTCGACGTGATGATGGTGCTGAGCTTCAACACGTCATCATTAGTGCTTAGTCTATTGTAAGCAGTTGCCGTCAGATCTGTGCACGCTTCGTGGAACCAACCTTTGCAGTTGTCGCACAGCATGCCAGTTGTAACAGCAAAACGGCATCTCGGACGTTTGCATGAGTTTTTCATGTTGAAGCAAACTGTTTTAGACGTTTGGAAAAGCCTAAGGCGGTAACATTACACTAAAAAGCACACTGAAAATGGAAAGAAATGGATAAAAAAGAGTGAGATAAGCTGAACTAGTCTATACGTGGAAAAAAACCGAATAGTAAGATGAGGCAAAACCACAGTTAACTATTAAATATGGTGAAACTCGAAAAAAGTAATCTGCGAAGGTATAACTCAGGATAGATTTTTTAGAACTGAAATGGTACTTTTGTTGCGTAAGAACACAACAAAAGTTTGATAAATGCAAATCACGTTAGGACTAAACTTCCCGTTCGAAAAGTGCGCGTGTTGTACGGTCTTCAAAGCAGCCATAGTGCGAAAGGGCGATCCACCTTGACCATTAGCCGTAAGGTTGGACTTCGATGTTAGCTGGTCGGTCTAACTCGATTAGGTCCCCAATCATTTTATGCAGACAGTCTACTATGGTGGTCAACAAATGGATAGGCGTTCTCAGGAATACAACTTATTAATACCATTAAAAATCGTAAAGAATTAACAGAAAGTCATTAACTTTTATTGTCATTGTTGTGTTGGGAACGGTCAAAATATTTAGTCAGCAGATTATTATTGCTGAAATTCAACCTTCACTTGTGGCGGCTTTTCAGAGCTATTAAGAAGGCCTTTCCGTCTCGTGATGTTGCTCGTGCTTTGGTTGGTTGTATTTGTCATTGAAACACCATATGGTAATTGGAAAACTATCACCCTAAAAAATTTTAAGGTGCGTCCACAATAGAACAGTACTTGCAATTCATCCCTGTTAGTGGAGTTAGACATGACATCTTTTTCTATGAACATCCTGGTCTGCGAAATCCCATTGAAATAGATGCCACTATTAAACAGCAAGTTCGCATCAGGATTGTAGAACATCTGAACGAGCTTCCTGTATTAAGAATTCATTGTGTTGTTGCTGCCCTCGATTCGACTCATGAACTCGTCTCTGCTTACTTATGTCGCAGGGTAATTTACCATTTTGAACTATTAAATTTGTGTAATGTAGAGTTTACTAACGTTTTTATCTTGTTTGTTTGTTTCTGGCTGATTCGTATGTATATAAGCTGTGATTTCTATCCTGGTTTATGTACCAGTTGTTAACCGTATGTTGTATGCTAGGGATGCCACACTATGAAGCACAAATTAATCATGAAATATGCTAATAATCAGCTTTTTATGTATTCTAGGTAAGTTTAGATCTGTGGAAAGACCATGAGCTACCTTTACTACCCTTTGTTCTCGTTACAGTCTTCTGTCTACTCTGCTTACATCCGTTCGTTTCGCATGCTCTATCTGACATGCTCTGCAGAATCTCTAGAACTGTTCATTCAGACATACGTTGTACATCACTCGGGCTAACTACGCGTTTGTTTACATTTCGCCGCCAAGTTTTTTGAGCTGAAGATGTACGTAGTAAACTTAGTCAGAATTGATTAAAACTTGAATGGTTCTGTTACATGAATTTTGATTATGTTGCAAGTAGTTGGGGTTAACTCCTGTCAATTCTGAAAATGGTTCCGAGTACTGTGGGTCCTTACAGTTTCTAGTTCCCTGTACATAATAGTTGAGTTGAATTTATTTCTAATAACATCACAAGCTTACTAACATCGACAAATATGTTAGGATTAACATCAAGATGGGAAAATCAGCTTCAAGATCGTGGCGGTCAGGAGTTGGGATCGAGTTTTTCATTGCGAACCGATACCAGCAATAATGTAAGCTTTTTATAATCCATATCCTATTTCTTAGTCCGGGGATTATAACTTATTCACTTATCTTTGCTATCTTTCTGATGAGTTAAAACAGGTCAATGCCGGCAGTATACGTTATGTCCAACCTATATTAAATAAACTAACACAACGACAGTCTTCGTAAATGTAGCCCAATGGACTCCATCAAATTATCTGGTCTACGAGTCTGCTGTTTTGAGATAGTCTCGGTACATAGTTTAATTGACAAACCAATCTTTTTAGTGTTGACTACTTCATGTATTTTAAGAGTCTAACCGATAATTTTTGATTTATCACCGACCAACTCATGATACTGAGAGGAATACTAACCATTTGTGGCAGGTAATTTACTTGATCATACTTTGGAAAATCAAGCGTGCTGCATAGTTTCCTCCTCGTCTTGTTACTTTTGTAAATATGGTTTTGAAATGTTGATCTTACTTGGTCGTTGTTATTTTATATTTGGAAGTATCCTAACCTGTACGCATTTGTTTATCTAGCTTTAATTTCCGTGCTATTTTGTTCATGAACCACTTATTTTCTTGATTATTCCAGAAGTCTACGCACGATTCGGATGAATGCATTGATCCTAAAACAAGAAATGTTATTTTCGGTCGGGTTGAGTTTAGCGCTAATGGCAATAGATCTTCAGGTATTTGTTTATTGGGTGTTAACTATTTGTTACAGGCTACACGTTTTCTTCTAGGCTACCTGTTAAAGATGAACTACTTGACGGCTTTTACTTCTGCAAGTATCATAACCGGAATGGAGAGCTAATTTCAAATTTCATTGAAATACAGGATGCGTATTACTATCACAAACGTAAGTCTCGTTGTGCCAATTAAGTTCGAGTAGTATTTTATTGTTTATGGTAAGTCAAATATCAAGTAGTTATGCATAGTATACAAAATGCGCTAAATATTAGTCCGGATTATCACAATTCATACCACAGGTTGCGGGAATTAGCAAGGGAATAACAATGTTTTGTGATAGTGAAAAATTACACATCAACCATTTAGTTATAATCAACATAGACCCTAACAAAAATGTGCATCGGCACAAGTTACTGCGCCACATCAGTATCGCGAGACGAAATTAACAAAACGAATCGAGAAAAAGTCAAGATGACGGTAGGATCCATAAGAATGCGGTACAAAAAACGGGTCAATCTGGAGAAAAAAAGTACACAACAATATATTGAGGACAAAGAATGGATCTATCTCCTTCACTGCGACTAATTTTCAGTCGCGTTACCCGAAAATTGGAAGTAACAAATGTAGTTCGAATCAGAGTAAAATGGAATAAAAAATATGGAATAATATCAGAATGTTTCAGAGAAAGGCGAGTCACATACATTTGCACTATTGCTGATAATTTAAAGTTATTTCACTCAAGGTTTCCAACCAATAATTAGTATTTTTTCCAATATGGTCTTATCTTAAAATACACGGACTTTTATCCACATAGATGCGATTACCTAATTGCCCCACCTATGACTTAATCGATAAGTGTATGTTTGTGCACTCGACTTTGAAACACAATGGGGGACTCGGTAATGTTAACTAAGTTTCCTGAACCTACAAAATGGAGCGAGATTGGAATCTGCCATCTTCTGGTTGAAAACCAAGCCCTTTAACCACGAAGACATTTCTTCACAAAGAAAGGATTCAGGTAGTCAGGTATGATCAGTAATCTTTATACGACTGGTACCCACAAAAGTCGTTTGACTATTGAGCATACTTTAAGCTAAGTTTAAAAATGGAATGTCATGAATGTATGTATGCTACTCAGTAAAATTACATTTTCACCCGAAGGAGGCCTGTCATAATCTCTGGTTAGCTGTAAAAAGTAACAACCTTTGTCAAAGAGTCGGAACAGTTTATGGGATTTTGTTGGTCCAGAAACCTGTCCCGAAAGACCACCAGATATGAGTAATCCGAAAATAAATTGACGACAGATTTACACATTGGTGGTAAGCACTGACAGGAAGAAATGAGATGCAGTGGGGATAAGTAACTTTTGACAGTTCTTTAAACTAATAAAAATATCGAAGTTAAAATACTAAACTTTAAAGGGAATGACTCAAAAATTGAACACCAGCGATCCACTATCAGACTAAGCAAATGAAACTATGTGGGAAATTGCAGAATGACATCTACGTAAACAATGTGGCCAGTGCAAATCGCTGTACGGCTTTCGTTTGTCATACATCATGTTTCATCATCTTATTTTCATACCTAAAAGTGCTTTTGACAACTTTTTGTCTTATATTTTCCGGCCATATTCATAGGTATGGTTAGACGACCTGTAAAGCAAACTGAATATTTACCTCCTTTATCTATCAATGATCTTCCCTTGAGTCTGGAATGCGGACAAACTCAAGTATCTGAAGAGTTGCCAAGTTGGGCTGATGCAGCGTTCCCCAGTCCGTTTATGTGGTCATTTTGTGATGTAGACAGCCCTGATGGTATACAGTCTGCTGGGTGCATGCGTAGAGTTCGTCAAACATCTACTCATGTTACAAATTATTTTGAAAGTTATGTCTCTCCGAACGGTAAGTTTCATCCCTTTCTACTTAAGTTGTGGACTATTATAAAAATAACTTATTTTCCTTATTGACTAGAAATTTGTAGACTGTAATGGACGTTCATTAAGGTTAATTTGTTTGTAAATTTACGACGCTAAAATAACACACAAGAATAAATCAAAAGTTACAAAAAGAAAATAGTCAATTAAAGGATTTTCTGCCTGTCTACGAATCGAGGTTGATTTAGTTGCTAAAGAGTACACTGACAGACTATTAATTAAACTATATTTTACTGGGTAAATAGCATTTATCTGGCAAAATTTTTTCGGTTTACCCATATTCATCTTTGTAGTATTTGAAAAAATATAATCTCTTTGATTTGCTTTCTTATGTATAAATTAATTAATTAGCTTTTACTTTTATATCAGCGATTTAAGATTGATTGTATTCCTTCCTTCATCAGGTACTTTGGTGTTATACAAGCGCACAACGTCAGCATGGAAAGATATGGGTTTAGTGTGCTGGAGCCACTTGGACTCCTCAGCTGTTTATTCTACCTATTTTGGTGGTTCAAGTGAGCGGCCTAAGTTGTTGACTTATGACTCCAATATACCATTCGTTGGTAGTGGAATTACTGTATTATCACCCCTCACACAAAGGATTACTGTTCGAATTGGGCCAGTGAGTATAGAGCATCCATTCTTTTATGTACTAGTTTATATTCTGACAACCTATGCCTAGGGCTTCATATTTATGTGACTGAGGTTGTTTGTACTATTTTCCACTGAGAAATTACTATGGTCACTGCAATTGCATCGACTACAGTAGCTGTAATGTATACTTCGAATTAACTTCTCTTATACTTTATGCTACGCAACTCAGTCATACTTTAAATGACATAACAATGATCAGTGATTAAGAAAGTTTTCTTTGCTTCACCATAAGACAAACTTATATAACATTTCATCAAAGTGAGAAATCATTACTAGTTTTGTGTACTTTTAATAGAACTAGACACGAAAACAAACACAATTCAGGTTTATTAGTTTGTTGGTTCAAGTTACCACGTCTCATCACATATAGGCAGGGTGACTGAAATTCAAAAAGGAAAGTAAATGTAGGTGATTGTAATCAACACATTAGTAAATAAACAAGGCCAAAATAAAAACAACAAATCAACGCAAGAAATAGAAAAGTATCAATTCCTTTAATATTAGTTGCATAAAGAACAGATCCAGTCGTGTATTATTCCTTACGAAAATATGAGATGAAGAATAGTGTTTTAACTCAATAACCTACCACGTACTAGTCCGTGTAGCAGGCAGTCACGTTTCCTGTGAGGAGAGATCATATTGCTAACTATCCATAAATAAGTAGTTAGAGTAGATTTCATTCTAGGATTTAGATAAAATATTTACACTATCATTTATTTAATTATTATTTATTTGAATTAAAAACCAAGTTATAAAGTTACCCAAAAGTGGTATAGCTTGATACAAATCGTTACGTACAATACCAGCATAAAATGCTCTGAAAATGGTAATGAACCATATTTCGTAATTTGGTTCTTTTATGGAGTAGAAGTTTAATTATTTGGTGAGACCAATTTTCGATTATTAAGATAAGTGAGTAGAATGCCAATCGACTGACAGTACGCAATTATAGGAAGCGTCGTGGATTGATGGTGGCCCAGGCGAACTAAATATTGACGTAAGTCCTCCATTAATGGCATGGTGTTAGGCTTATATACGAAATATTAGCACAAAAAATGACGATAAAATGTTATAAGTGATGAAAGAAAATCAGTTTATACGGGAAGTATGCATACTCATAAGTCATTTTTATTTGCAATTAGTTGTTGTGCACAGACCTTTACAAGTCACTAGTCAACTAAAGGACTTACGTTTTGGCTGATTGATCTAATATCTGACCTCCATATCAATCATCTTTACAGGCGATCAGGACTTTGCTATGATATAGAGGTCTCTGACACAGATTTATATCGATATTTTCTTTTACGTTACCGAAAATCCTTAAGTTTATGTGTCGCTATTAGTTTGATAAAATTCCCATTCCAAACCATTACATTTCTTAAAATTTTAGCGAACTGGTCTCAAGTTAGTCACTAAGTATCGATCTACTCCAGAGTACACGACTGTTAAATGGACCAAAGACGGCAGAAGAATTCCACCTGATTTTCCAGGACACAGTGATTATCTCTTGAAGTTTCCTGATCTCATTCGCCGAGAGCACTCTGGTATGTTTCATGGCTTTTTGTGATGAATGGTTGCTAGTTGTTTATTATATTTCAGTTTGTTTATGTTCCAATAGTTCAAAGCTAGTAAATCTATTGGGATAGAACAAGGCCAATGTTTTCGGAAGGATTACTTAATCAAGTAGTTTTATTAATTAGTTTTCTAGTTTTTTTCATATAGCTTTCCCTCTCATTAGTTCTGTTCTTTCGGGTTATTACGAAGTTGTTTTACTTACAGGGATGATTCAAGCTTCTGTATCTGCCTTTATGTTTCGTTTCCTAGTTGATGTTAATGTACTTGGATAGTTTTCAACAGTTTTTATACTTGCTGAACATAATACTACTGTCATAGGGATGTTTTTGGCTTTTAATTGACCATATTACATTGATATTATTTTGATAGCCTAGGGATCGATTGGAAGCAGTTTTTCTGATACATCAGCGGTCGAACAGGAAAACATCGTGAAAAAGTCATGAAAAGGCGATCTTACGAGAAGTAATGTGGAATCACATTAAGTTGTGTGTTGTTATACAGCCAATCTTTTAACAGTAGATGTTGAAAACTCCCTATGAATAGAAACATTTGATTCTTGAATAAAAGTTTGGAAAGACATCCGAGGGACTTAAACCTGTGAAGCGTAATTGACAGTGTATCGATCATATCTCCAACCATCACCATAACTTAAGACATTACATTCAGAAGTCCTTCATTCTACCTATATTTTCATACACAATGACTTAATTTAGTTTCGTTGGTCAGCATCTTTAGTGACTAAGTTTGAAAAAGATTTTAGAACAAGTTTATTATGTTATTTAAACTTTATTCGTCATTTACCATATCATAGTTTCTGTTTCTGTTTTATTTTTGAGGTTGTCTAAATATACTAATACTTATGATGTTAGCCTGTCCAGTAACCAGATTCTTATTAATTTGCTAACAGCTTTTGTTTGAACAGTTGCTTAATCTTTTCTATCTACTCACTGTTTCGTTCTAATCTTATTCACTCCTGTATGTATGTATGTACGTATATATGTATGTATCTGTTTTTATACTTCATCCACTAAATTTATACTCAAGCAACAGACAATCAAACACTTACCGTTCATGTATAAAGTTAGATTTGTTTACTTGATTGCCACTAGTTTCCTCAGTCTGTTTCCTTTCATCGATCTGGTAAGTATTATTCAAAGTCATGCAAAATTGATTTTCCTTTGAATTAAAATTCAACACTGCCATGTATTTTTGTGGAAACATATAAAATAGTCTTTGTATTATTTGTTATGTTTTTGCTTGTTCTCTTAAGGGACTTACAATTTACTTGTGGAAAATGGGAATGATCAAGTTAATTTTCAGTTCATAGTGAGTGTAGTCGGTCCACCTGAAGTGATACGTGCTCCTCCACCTTTACTTTTAGTGATGGAGGGAGAAAATGTTACATTTAGCTGTCAGTTGGATTCGTTTATAACGGAGGTAATTTACTTACGAAACATGTTCTTTTATGTAGAATTATCATACTTTAGGTTTTAACTAGAATTGTTTTTATTGCACTAGCATTTATGTATCCATCATATTTTATGCTGATCTTACGGAGTAGAACAACTTTTTTGAACACGGGGTGAAATCTTTATTTAGATATTGGTTAATTGTTAACATATAGTAAGAATCTTATTTAAAATCAGTTTTCTGTCGTGCAGCTGTTGGGAGCTAGTAGTACAGTCATTTGGCTCATCTTTTTATTTATTTGAACATATAAACATTGGTACAATGGGGCACCAAATACTTCACACAATAACAATGAAGTTGTAAAGAGATAGATAATGTAAAGTGCGTACAATAAAGAGAACAAGAAACGAGCAGAAATTAGTGTATGAGAGTAAAATAATAATAGTAATGGGAGGAGCAGTTCAGCTAGGAAAGATACAACCGGAAGGGATTTCAATGAAAGAAGTTACGTTCACTTTTATGAAAAAAGTAGAAACCACGGCAGGATCGCCACTGGTTTCTATTCTGAGTCATATCTGATAACATCTCTAGCCACCGTGTTGCACCATCTCTTGGGCCCCAACTAGGGAGTAGTGAACGACCAACAGAAGCCAGTCCTATACAGTTTTCTTTTATACCATGACATCATGTCATACTCTGACCACCTCTCCTCTATTTCTAACCAGTCCCAGTGTCGACAAATAATGCACGACGTGAGATTTACTGGGACGACATTCGTAAGGCATGTCCAGGCCACCGACGTCGATGTTTGAAAATAGTGAAAGCAATTGGATTATTGTCGCTGTGCCTGAACACACGATTCCGAACCTGTGTATTACTAACATGGTGTTGCCACTGGATGTCAGCAATCCCTCAGAGACAACGATGGTGAAACACAGAGAATCGTTTAATATTCTCAACTCAGAGAGGCCAGGTTTCACAAACATAGAGCAAACCTGCTCTCACCAACGCGTTGTAGATCCGACCTTTTACAGCCAGACTAACACCACGAAGGTGCCAAAGATGACCCAGATTGGCATGAGCCGCTCTGGCCCTCACTATACGTGAGTCGATCTCATCACTCACGCCACCACCAGCACTTATGCAGCTACCCAAATACTCAGACCTCTTGACTACTACCTGCCCACTACTCAGTGTGAGTGCAGGTTCAGGGTTTTTCCAGTCCTGTAGAACTACTTTGCACTTGTAAGGCTCAAAGCACATACTATACCTACGAACACTGATTGCCTGCTGACTAAGTGTGGATTGCACGGCTTGGGTATTATAACACAGTAAGACAATATCATCCTCATATTCAAGGTCGAAAGGTTTCTCCAGGAAACAGATCCACACCTACATTATCTACAGTCATCAGAGCTGTTTCGAGAATGTGATCGATGGCAAAGTTGTAGAGGGATGGTGAGTTGTAAGGAACCTGTAGAAACCTAGTGCTTATAAGCAGGACATTTCGCAAAGCTGCAGGCGACTTCACTTGCCATTTTCATGACTTCATGCAACAACAGCCACTACTAGTTTATGCTATTCGGTTGGCTGGTAGCTAGCGTTGAACCTAGCTCGTTTTGATATTTAGTCGCAAGAGAAGCTGCAACCAATTTACTGGCATCGATCCGTTTAGGACGATAGATTTATTGGCCATTAAAACTTAAGGTAAGATTAGCTTAAGTAAGGGAATGTTTATAGTTTGTTTATTGTTGTTTGAACGCATAAATATTAGTACGGAGGGGCACCGAATACATATGCGCGACACAAACCACTTGATTTGTGTTTGGGCTATGATACTGTCCGGGTTCCCAGACTGAAGCGTGTGGTTTTCTTAGGGGCCACACCCGGAGCCTTTGACTTAAGGGTCTGATCCATTAGGCAGTGGAATAACGCCAGGAGATGCGGTCACATGATAGCCAGTGACCAACAATCGGTTCATACGCCATTTGTTCCCTCAGGATCCTGAAGCGCATGTGCATAATCGGTTTGTAATCAGGGTTTTCCAACTCCGCCAGATGGACCCTTACCTACCAAGCCGGTTAAAGCGCCAGACATTCGTTTTTCTTCCTCTCAATTTCGTAAACAACAACCCCGCTGCGAGAAGGAAGTTAGACTTCCCAAGTAGTGGCGGTCTACGCGAAGCCACGTGAAAGCATTTCGAGGAGAGCGAACTCTCCTCACCCTCAGCTCTTACGTATTGAACAGTTAAAATTGGAATTTTCTTGTAGTCCAGTTATATTGGTTTTAACCTTTGGATAACTGTACCTTATAGTCAAAATAAAGAATTTACCAATCATGTTTTTCATACTCAGCTCCCAGCAATTGTCAACCTTAATTGGGAATTGTTTTTACCACCTAATATGATTTTCTTTTTCGTTGTATAAGTATTTGATACATACCTAGAAAACTGATTATTACATATAAGATTTCTGTGTTTACATCACTCTCGACTACTGGATTTGTTTTTATGATGATTGTTTTGTCATTTTTTAGTCTTTAGAAATCAATGGCCTACCTTACCAACCGAATCCTACTAATTTTCGTACTGAACTAAGAGATCAATATCCGTACTTAAAAGATGCTTTAATACAACCATTGCAAAAAAATGGTCATATTTTAACTTATTCAGCCTATAATTTGCTGTTTACACCTGGTAGTAAAGTTGGACCGACTCATACTGTCAGCTTGGTTGGGAAAAATGAATATGGCTTGGCTCGAGTATCCACTCTTGTCAGAGTACTACGTAAGATACAAATATTGTTGATGTGTTTTCATTATTGTTTTGATGATACATGTGTATGCATGCTTCTTCTATTCACTTAGACAAGACAAATATTTATAGAGTATCATAGTTTCGGAAAAAATTGTTTTTTGATTTGGTTGACAGCAATCGTCCTTTATTATCCAGGATTATTATAAGGACGAGTGAAAATGGGCTCAGATTAATAAGGGCCACTATCAAAAAGGTACATGTTAATCGAGGTGAGCATTTTTAGTGGTGTAAATTATGTTCAATTCGCTCTCTGCCTTACTATCAATCAATCCATTCTCCGAGTTTAGTAACAAACTGTTATTCATGTTATCTCGTACGTCTATTTCGAACAGCTAGGGGATAAACTATTTAGAGAAATGCTTCAAAAACTTGAAAATGTTCGATGAATTTCAAATTGAATGAGTTCTAAATGCTAAAAAATGTCTTTCTTTCAAAATTACGAGGTCACACTCGGCATTCGTCACTACATGTTTTCCCGAAAACATTGTCGATTGTCGATTTCTGCAGTAATAAGAGTCGAATGACTAGGTTTTATTTAATATTATTTAGATAAACAGGCGAAACATATTAGATGGACCTCATGGAATTAACATTATTAACATACGATTATTACGCATGTATATTAGGCAGGTTATCATGTATTCCGGTTACATACTCAGGCAGACACGTCCAAACATTTTTTTGTCAAATTAATTAGTTTAAATGACGAATTCAAGTACATTGCAACAATATCTTATAGATGATTTCTCTGCAAAGGCGGTAGAAGTTTATCATTTCAAACTTGAACGATGTGTACAAAAACGTCGCGTCAAACTATCGTCATATCATGACTGTAATACCTAATGTTTCACGCTCAGTTAATCGATTATTTATACTTCACCTTAATGATTTTGACTTTTAGTCATTTGTTGTTAAAACCATGTTTTTTTTTAATTTATTCATCTTTCTCATACTCCTCAAGTGGATAATTGTCTTCCACATGTTTGGTTTTTATCTTATTATTATTTTTTTACTTTTCGATCGTTATGCAACTTTATTTCATCCCTTGAAATTGTGTACTATTTATATTTTTGACAGACTAAGAGGGGTAATGAGCGTAAGGAAGTAAGTAAGCAACAGACAATCAAAATTCTAACCCCGACTTCCTGATACGTTGATAACTCTTCAACCAGTCTAAGAGCTTTTTACTACTACAATAATCGTGGCAACATTAACTGACAGAATATGGTAAATTAGAAGGGGATAACATCTAATTTACTTAGATGCAAATGTTACATACATGATAAATTTTCATAACACCGTTCAACATGTTTAGACGTGAATATTCAAATTATGTACTACTGTACGGAGATAGTCTAGTGTCGATTTTTTTTCATAATCTACGATCAGTTTTGATACATACCTCTACCTCGCACTTTCTTTGTAAGTGTTGTTACTGGATTCATGCAACAGACGGTTTCATTTCCAATCCATTTAGTCTGTTAATTTTTCAGCGCATCAATAATTTTCTATATACTCAGATGAGCGGTACCAATAAGTTAGCTAAAGCTTCTATACCACCTAACACAGTGTTTGTTTTAGTAAGGTCTTCTCCAACTTAAAAAATTGTTGATTCATCATTTGTTCATTGAAATGACATGTAAACAAACCGTATAATACAAGTTTGTTCTACGTATCCCTGAATAAAACTAACTGACTAATTATGTACTTAGATTGACATTATTGTTTTAAGACTGAAACTGAAATCAGCAGAGTAAAGCTAAAACCCACTAATTTTGAGTCGAATGATTAAGTTGTTACCACATTGCTCTGCATGTCTATTAAATTCGGTAACTTGTATTTCTCCAGACCATAATCCGATAAAATCTGATAATCAATTACAATGATTTAATGTGGAAAGTGATTAAAGATTAATGATTCAGATTTTCATCTCAACTTAGCTCAAACTTTATTCTTATACGGTCGGATCTTACGGTAGCCAATCTATTTTATTCATTGAGTTTTATTTATTCTCCATTTTAGCCCGAATAAACATCTTGAAGGCTCCAAAAGACTACTCATGTACTACCGATTGCTTAAACACTATTTCACATGCATTCGATTGCGTTATCGATACGGATCCTTATCAGTCTACTTACTTTGTACAAACATGGGAATTAAATGGCATTCCTGTGTCGAAAATGACAAAAGATTATCAACAGTCAAAATTTATTAAAACAGAAGACACAAAGGTAGGTGAATTAATCCAATGATATTCATAATTGTTTTGATAGAGAAATAAATGTTTATCCATTGTATGAATCTGTTTATCATGTAATAACCATTATAATTTCATGGTTATAAGCTTTAAGCAAAGTTCACAAAAACCAACTGTAAGCTTAGTAAAATACCCATCTAACTAGTGGAAGTAAAAAGTAATTGACCACTGAACGTAGATTTACAGATACAGCTTGCTATTTACTTTGTGATTTCCTTCCTATCATTGATATCTACTCTAGACTTACGAAGTATTCCTGCTTGAAATGAATGGCGTTGATTAAAGTATTGGCTATCATGTACTCTAGTTCTCCATTACTGGTCGTAAATGGGGTATTTGATATAGCGTGATCATATCTGTGTAGAGCGCATCAATCGAGTATCCAGTTTAGTGGTGGCAAAATCTCGGTCACCGGTCATAATTTCGTATTCTAATACTGTATCGTGAAAAAAGAGAAATATATTTTATTCTTCCTATATATCGTATATAAATTATATTTTGTGTAGATATCAGAGGTAATTGTTGCTAATCACACACTTAAATTCGTTTCCTATATATACACTAAAATGAAAAGTTAGCTTTCGTTTCTGAGAAATTGACCCTTAGAACTAGACATTTTAGGTTTTATTAATATTAGTAAATATAAAAGAATTTCAACTGCATTTATGACGGTCGTTATTTTTCTAGTTCAAATATATGCTTTTATTAAACAATTGCAGATTATTTTCTTTCAATATCGCAACAGCTTTGACAGTTAGCTTGCCATTCAGCTTTTACTGTGACTGTCTGGATTTTCAAATACCTTGCCTTCCTGTACAGCGTTCAACCTACATTAACAAGTATTCATCGGCTTCGATTGTTGCGTTATATTTTTTTGTGTTAAAACAGAAGAACAATATCGTGTTATGTATACTTATATTTTTCAAGAGAAAATTAGATTTTGACTTGAATAATGTATTCATTTCTGGGTACAACCTACAATAAAAAATATTTCATCAATGTATGGTTTATGTAGATGAAAATGTGTGCATATATGTTCTTTTATCTAGTTGATAATCACACCCGTTGATGATCCGTCCTTAACTGTATTGTTCCGAAAAGTGAATGTGACGTGCCGTTGGCGTATCTTTTATCCGCATGTGACTTCTCGTATTGCAGATCTGGATACAAGACTTTTGGAACCGAATATGAAGGTGTATGATTCTCATGAGGATGCAAAAATCCGTCCACTTATGACAGCAGCGTTGGATCTACAAGTGGATCATGACCCAACTCCGGGTTAGTTGGAACTTCCTCTTATTCTTCCATTCCTTTTAAAATTATTATTATTATTATTGGATATTCTCGTTTCCCTCCCATGATTTCTTACACATTTATTTTCTTTCTTCTCTATCCTTTTCCTGCATAGCATCAGCTAACATATCTTGGATAACAGCTGTGATTATCGGTATACTTGTTATAATTGCGATCGGAGTTCTAACTGCTTGTTTGGTCATGAGATTCCGTGGAGAAACTTATATGCGTAAGTTTATACTCAATGAGATTATATAATGTGTATAATATTCTGATACGTTATTCATCGGAGACTATGAATACTGCTAACACTTTCTATGACTTTAATTCTTCGATTGGGAGTTCAGAGTCTATGAAACGTTTACCAAGTCTGAAGTTTTGAGAACAGTTTCTTCATGTATACTTATCAAGTCATTGTAAGCTTCTTATTCCTCACGTGTATAACTGAACGTTTTTTTCCCTGGGTAATCGCCAAATCTGTTCACTGGACTACCCACCCTAGTTGGCAAACTGTAGATCACTGTTGGGACAGATTGGATTGGACTATTCTTATCTATAGACTAAATGTGTTCACGTACCTCACCGATAAGATCTGGTCTAAACAGGAGGAATATGTATTCTGTTTTTCGATATCGTCACCCTGCCAGGCACTACTAACATCCAACTTCACGTTGGTACAAGTAGTATATCTTACTAGTTTCAGATAGCTAAATAATTTTAAGTTTTTACAATTTTACCTTAAATGTACATAAGATACAGGTGTGTTTTAAAGCCTTATTTTTTAAAGGACGATCTTGAAATTTCACCATTTATTTATTCCTTACCGCCCATATGTTATTACATAGATTCAGGGATTCATCGTTTTTTTCCCATCTTTTATGTTCTCCACCTTCACATTATTCTAATAACTGTTACTGATTACCTGACTTTAATTCCATGTCGTAGATCTTTGTGTTATATACGATGAAGTGTTTCTTGATGCCCATAACTTGTGTTAATTTATCTCAGCTATTTATTTACTCTGAAGAAGCGTCTTACATTAAGTCACAAAACGTCAGAGATACAATTTTTCTACTCATTGGGATATAGCAAATATATATTTATTTTTCCTCCCAAAGTTTGAATAAATGGAAATGATTAACTACGTATTCAGAAGAGCATCTAGTTAGCTTTATCAGTAATCGTGTGCGGAGTTCCTCAAACTTTTAAAAATGCTTAAAATTTAACTTTGTTAAGCAGATGAATCTGATGATTATGAATTTAGAAAGCCTTCATTCAGTTGTCATTCAGTTCTCGATCACTATGCTCAATTGAAACAATTCAGTATTTTAATTTCAAGTGAAGACGAATACAATTTTGATATTGCTATCGACTGAATCACCTGAAATCTGTAGTCATAAATTTCTTGGTAATTTAGGAGAATGCAAATCTTAGTACGCCTGTTACCCCTGGTGGAACATAGGCCGCTGAGCGGGATTCTCCATCAAACTCTGTCCTGAGCAATCAGTCATTAACAACGTAGAACTCTGTACGTACGTACATCAGTTCGAGTTGCCACACCACGTTAGCACAGAGATGCAGTTGTCGATTCAAATCCCGTAGTGGTAGAGGTAATAAGAGTATAAGCAGTAATCGGGAAGATTAGTGTTTGGAGATGTTACTTAAAGAGTATAATCCAGTGAAATAAATTTGGAAAGAGGGAAAAAGGGACATGAAGAATTCAGAAGATTAGAATTTGGGAGAACACAGAGAGTGTATGCACCTGCGCAATTGCAAACGATTTTGAGCCATTTCATTCAGGGTCTCTATCAATCGGTTGCTATCACCTCGCAATCCCCAACCAGGTAGTCTACACCTACCAACATGGTTCAGTCCACTTGTCAGTAACTTCATGGGTTTGTGCCATGTTTTGGTCTGGCCGCCCCTAGCTTTCTTCCAACCTACTCCTATACCACTGAACATCGCACGTCGAGGCAGTCGGTCGTTGGGCATACGTAACACGTGTCCAAACCATCTCAACTGATGAAGTTTCACTACTTCATCAATTGATTTGCCATCCTTACCTAGTACCCGTTTCCTAACAACTGCATTACTTACTCGATGGTCCCAGGATATAGGAACAATATTTCGAAGACACCTATGATCGAATACTAGTAACTTACGAATATCCTCTACTCTTACCGGCCATGTTTCACTGCCATAAAGTAGGACGGGACGAACTGCTGCGCAGTAAACACGTCCTTTGGTTGATAGACGGATATCGCGCATACGCCATAAATGACGCAAGTTGGCAAGAGCTAGTCGAGCCTTCTGTATCCGTGCTGAGATTTCGTCACACACCAGACCACAAGGGCTGATGAGACTTCCAAGATAAGTGAAGCGGTCGACACACTCAATTACTTCACTCCCTATCATTAGTTCGGGTGTCAATGCAAACCAGTCCTGAAGCAACATTTTGCATTTCGAGGGGGAGAATCGCATCCCGAACATGCTTGCATTGTTACTTAGAGTGGTCAGACGACAGCATTTTGTCAGCGTCTTCACCAAATAGACCTATGTCATCTGCATATTCCAAGTCAACAAGTGAATCTCCCGGTAGAAGTTCAACCCCTGGAAATCTAGACGAGGAAAGTGTCATCTCTAAAAGCACGTCGACGACAAAGTTAAACAAGAATGGAGAGAGTGGAGAACCCTGACGAACACCACTTGAGGTAATCAATTCTGATGACAGTACGCCATAAGCTCTCACTCTACCAGTTGTGTTCGAGTAAAGAGCCTTTATAAGGTTAATGTACTTCTTTGGTACTCCTTTCACTGACAAACACTGCCATAGAACCTCACGATCAACAGAGTCGAATGCCGCCTTAAGGTCGAGAAATACTACCATTGTGGGGCGTCTGAATGTGTGTCTGTGTTCTAGAACCTGACGTAGTGTGAATATCTGATCTATACAACCACGTCCAGGTCGGAAACCAGCCTGATTTTCTCTAGTCTGCTCTTCACGAGCTTTGATTAGGCGTCGAAGTATTATTGAAGCTAATATTTTAGATACTATATTAGTCAAACTGATTCCTCTGTGATTGTCACAAGAGGACTTTTGTCCTTTCTTATAGACTGGCACAATCAGTGATTGATACCAGTCAGATGGGATTACGTCCAGTTCCCAAATTCTACCCAAGACCTCAGTTAATCTCACTGTTAATACTGAACCACCATCCTTAAAAATCTCAGGAGTAAACCTGTGAGGGCCTGCTGCTCTCCCTCGCCTCAGATTTCCTATGGCTTTTTCAACTTCGTAAAGAGACGGAGGACCTACATTAACTTGCCATTCAGGTTGACTGGAGATCGTGGTAAACCGAAGTGTGGCTGAAGGCTTGGACATGTTCTACGAATGTCGTCTTAGAGAATTCCACGTCGTGCATTATTTGCCGACTCTGGGACTGGTTGGAAAGAGCGGAGAGGTGGTCAGTATATGACATGGTGTCGTGGTATGAAAGAAAGCTGCAAAGGGCTGGCTTGTGTTGGTCGTTCACGACTCCCTGGTTGGGGTCCGAGAGATGGTGCTACACAGTGGCTAGAGATGTTATCAGATATGGCTGAGAATAGAAGCCAGTGGCGATCCTGCTGTAACCTTCTTTTACTTTCTTCGTGAAAAGTGGTTGTATCTTCCTTAACTGAAAGATTTCTTCTGATTATACCCTTCTGTTCCCCTACTATTGCTATTATTATTACACTACCTTACACCAATCTCTTCTTTATTGTTTTTTTTACGTCCCTCCCTTTTTTTTTACTTCTTAGATTCTCATTGTTTTGTGTGGCGCATATATATTCGGCGCACTCCTGTACCAATATCTATGTGTTCAAATAAAATAATAAAATACTAGTAAGACGCAGGCAAATACGCGCTCGTACTAGAGCATGATTTGAATCTAAGCATTTGCTTCAGAATGAGTGACAGTCTTCTATCGAGCCCCTTCATCGGTGGTTGATAGCGATGTGGTCTATTTGGGTCTAACGTTGGGACGAATTAGGGGGTCACCATGTTAAAAGATATTTTTGCTCATGCTCAAAGTTGGTATTTGCAAGGAACAGGCGGTTATTTGAGCATAGCTGCAACAAACGGTCGCCATTAACTGTTCTTTGAGCCACGATGCTATAAAACCGACCCAGGTGTCTTTCCCTATCGCTTAGTTTACCTAGTTGAGCATTAAAGTCACCAGCCACTATTACTATATCGGAGCGCCTAGCTTTTCGGAGGTCGGAAAGCTTTCTGTAAAACTCATCTTTTACATCATCTGCACTGCAGTCAGTGGGAGAATAGGCAGAGACGACGAAGAGGCAACGACGAGTGTTCCCATCTTTCCGAGTCTTTATTGTTCCGTTTAGTCGGACAGCGCACAAACGACTGTCTACTGGGATCCAGTCTAAGAGAGCTAGTTGTGCCCTATGACTCAATGCTATACTTACGCCGGCGAGGCTACGAGAAGCAGCATCAGGGCTTCCAGATACACGAAGTGTGAATCGAGTTGGTTCCTTATTTTGACATGGTGAAATAAGATGAACGACGCTACTCGGATCCTGTGTGCGCGTCTCGGAGACGCAGCACACATCGATGACGCGAGATTCTAAAGTCCTAGCTAAGGAAGCCTGTTGTCCTATGTGGCAGTGTTCGGACATTGAAAGCTCCTTCGTGTAGTTTAGAGCGGGGTTTCAGGAAACCTGGAATGACGTTCCGCGTACTCGAATCGTTTGCCCTAGCGGTGCGAGGTGATAAAGGGACGTGAGAAGGGTTAGTCATGGAGATAAGAGAGGTATTAGGAGGTGTAGAAAGGATTTGAATGTGACCAACTTCGTCTCGTGTGCTGTTACGGGTATGAAGGCCGATGTCACTTCCCGGCTGCCCACATCGTGAAAGGGTATTTCTTGAGGAACCTGAAAAGGAAGTTGGATTAATGTTGGCCTTAACGACCTGGGAGCTTGACCACAGAGCCCAAGGGACAACTGCTTGAGGCCGGTCACGCATGGCCTTTTCGTGGGAGGTTTTTAATGTGTTAGCTCCGTTCTTCAAAGGGCTTTACCGCCAGAGACGGAAATCCGTGAGGTAAGGTGAGGTGTGACATTTTTAGGGTCGACCTTTTCTAACCCCACTCCTCCTTGTGGAAAGGCAGCATCGCTGCAGATGCTGGTTTTTCGGGGGAAACACCTTACTGCTGTCACACCCCTCTACGGTCAGCAGTACGACTTCGCCCTCAGACCTTGAGTTGCTGCTTTTAGTCTTACCGTTCTCCAATCGACCTACGTGGCATGGTAGAACCTACAGGAACATATGTTCCAGCCAATATAGCTCGGTTGGGTCATCACGATAGGCAATCCTGACCACTGTGTCAAGGTAGCAGCTACGGTCGGGCCTGAGCAATCATTTCCAGTTGTTTCCAAGTGTTATTTATTCTTTTGATGTCTGTCTCCGAATCCCGACGCATTTTGTTCTTTAGTCTACTACTTTTCCGTTTCCCTTCAGGATTTCAAGTTAGCACTTGCTTCTTGATGCAGTTTAGTGATTTCCGTGATGTATGTCCTATCCACGTCCATCGTTTTTTCCTAACTTCCTCTTCATTTGGAAGTTGGTTTCTTCTTTCCCACAGTAGGTTGTTGCTGATGTTATCCGGCTAACGGACATTGAGTATCTTGTGTAGACAATTTTGACTAAATACCTGTACTGTTTTGATGATGTTTGTAGTGGTACTTCAGTTTTCAATTCTACAATCGAAGTGTCTTGATGTTTGTATTGAAGATTGTGACTTCTATGTTGGTTGACAGTTGTTTTGAGACTGTAGGAATGCTGCATTTTGCCAATCTTTGCCTTTACATCTGGATCAGATCGTCGTTTGTTTTAAATAGCACTGATAGTGTGATGCCTCTGTATTTCTCACACTTACTGAAATTTTCATCCGGATTTGTTACCGGCAGTGACTTTGGAAGGGTTACAATCAGTTAGTTTAAATTGAAAATAGGGTGTATATATATATATATTAATATACGTGTACGCACGCTACAGTTCACGTTAACAATTATCATTTCTTTAGAAGTTGTCACGTATTGAATAGATATGACCAGCTTTATTTTGGTACCTACTGTTTTTTTGAGTTACCTTGTGTCTATCATAATTGACTGTGCAAAATATCCTTATAAATACCCCCTGATTTATGGTTTGGTAAGTCATTTGATGCAGAAGTTTAAATTACAATTTTTAAAACTCAGTAAACAGAACCTTGTAGTTTTCTTTATATTTTATATTTCTAATATCCAGTATTACTGTTACCTATAGTACATTAGTTTATTTCATTCATAAATGTGACTTTCATCTGCATTGTGATTTGCTTACCTCTTCAGTGGATCGTGAAGAACGTGCTCTTGGAAATGATCCAGAAAAAGAACTACGTGAAAAAGAAGCATTTCAAACCTATGAAAGAGCGTAAGTTTCCTTTTTGTTTCTCCGAATGATTTTTCTGTTCAGTTTCAGTAGTACTAATAAATTTAGTGGAAATTTTAGTTTTTTCAGACTGCAACGTATTTCCACGTGTATGCGTGGTTTTTTAAGAAAACTACCCTGAAAAATGTCATTTCTTTCCATTGATTAGTGTTTAAATCAATTCGATGCGTCGGTGTTTGACAAAACATCGGAATAGATACAAAGAGCTTTTTTGGTTTTCACTAAATTGCATCCTTTGTGGTACACTGCAGATGTCATTCTGCTTCTCAAGTGATGAACATTTTGTAATTAAAACCGCCGTGATCTACTTTATGGCTGTTGTGAAATATGGTCTTTGAAGTTATTTGACATGCACAGGTATCACGCTTTTGACTACAGATATCTTCGAAGCATTACTCACATTTACTGGAGTCTCATTGTGATTTATGCTGAAATTAGACTTCGGGTTCTGGGTAGAAATGCCAAAACGATCAATGATGTAAAAGTAGCCATTAAGGTGGTTATGACAAATGCAGCCCAAGTCCCACTTACATCTTACGCTGACGTTGATTAGTAAAGGATTATATTGTAGGAATATTAGAAGCAACTAAGTTAGCACATTGTATCCGACAATTAGGTTATGGACTATTGAAATAAGTACTGTTGTTTGTATTTGAGTCGACCTAAATCCCACCCTATCTGTTTTAGTTTGAGGACCTAGATGGTATTGATCCTCCTAACAAACGTTGCTGATCGCTTACATAATTCTACGCGGTTAATCAATGTATTTATTATTTTAAAACTCTTTGGGAAATGCGTTAAATAATGGCACCGTGTTTTATTTTTTATTCGAATAAATTATTATCCTTAGTGCACTTTTGAAGTATATTTTTTATTGTGTACTTTCAAAGGTTTGTAAGCAGTCGATAAAAATCCATTTTAAGCAGTTGCGATGTGGGCATATGGTTAGATAAAAATTTTCTAACTAAATCGGTTATTTTGTTTTAGAGAAGAACCGCCACTTCGAGGCAGTCGTTGTTCATTAAATGATGACAGTGCTGAAATTGGCAGTGATGGAGATGGTGAACTAGACGATTATAATCTTGATCCTGGTAAGTTGTTACAGACTTCTGTTCTCTACTTTCATTATATTATTCAATTGGTTGTTTTAATCAGTTAATTGGACGAGAGTACTGTTCCTTAAGTGATTTTGATAAATTCACTACTCTAAAGACAAAGCTGCTTTTCAGTTTAGTCGTTTTGGCATGAATTTCAAACATTTAACTCAGAGTTTATTATTAGTAATAATGAATAAAAACACGACTCTCACACGTTTTGTCAGTTAACCAAATTACCGTCGATCTTAGCATTTCAGCTTAGAAAAAATTAAGTTGTGCATAATGATCTATTACTTAATAATGTACATACTTTCTATGATCAAAACGTTTTTCGTTTTCTTTTTGTAAAAAAATGTAATAGGTAAATTCAATGAAGAAGGCTCTTTCATTGGGGAATATGCAACAGAGAGACACAAGGGCCCATCAAATCGTTTACCAACTCTTGATCGAAACTACAATCCAACAGTTTAAATAAAGTAACACAATTCTTGCCAAATTTCCCGTCCCATTTTTATTTGTTAAGTTGATTTTTACCGGATCAAATTGGGGAAATCAATTCTTGAAATTAACCAAGTGGTAAACAAGCAGATTATTTCTCAACTTTTTCTCTCACCTGAGAATCACAATATTCAATTCATTCCTCATTCCCTTTAAAATTCACAATTTAAGATATCTATCTCATTGGATTAACTTAGTTTGTTTCATTATGTGTACTTACTCTTTTTTATTGTTTAATGTTTCCCATCTAGTTTGAAAACGGGGAACGTTCTTTAATCTTACATTTCCTTTTTACGAAAAATAATTCCCTCTTTTGTTTACTTTCTCCTTCTTCGTTACTCCTGCTGAATCTCATTGTCATCTCCTTTTTTGGATCTGCTTTCTTTTATCGCATATTTTGTTTTTAAAAAAAAAAAGATTAAAAAGAGCAAAAGCTTACATCATCAGTATATTCCAAAATAACGCATCAGCTAGTCCTAGGATTCTTTCGTTTTCTTGTTAAAAAAACATATGCATTATTCTTACTAATTTACACAGCTGCTGTTTTATGATAAACACAACGAAAAAGGACAATTTGTATTTATTGTTTTGTTTTTTCCTCCTCAATTATACCTATGTCATCTGACTGCTGTTAAAAATGCTTTTATTTAAATGATTTTTCTATTCTGCAGGACTTATTATTAATATTAATCATTGTAATGTTCAATTATTGTATTAACTATTCATGCCTATATGTGTACTGTTTTTATAATTGTTTGTCTGTATTATTACTTGTCAACTGTATCTCGACTTTTGTGCATTACTGTATTGTATTAGATGGATGCTTCTTTTCTATATAATACGTTATTTGGTTTAAAAAGTGTTTTAATATTGACCATTTGTTGTGTCAGTCTACATTTTTTTCATTGTCATTATTTAACCATCATATATATATATATATATATATATATATATATATATATATATATATATATAATCTGACATCTGTTCGATCTCATATGTTATGTACATACACGTTTTGTGTATGTACACATACCAACACTGATGTATGCTACAGTGATTGTTGTTTTATACATTACTACTACGACTTTTACATGAACTATTAAGTTTAATACGAAAAATTACTTATATATATCACCTTAGTTTACTTAACAAATTTCACTTTTTTTTCAACCAAAATACAAACTTTTGTTTATTTTTTACATCCATTTGTTTTTTTCCGTTTTTATGCAAATTGTTAAATACTGTCTTTTAACTTTTTGTTGTTATTTTGTTCTTTAAAGATTAAATGATTATTAATGCTTTTTTTGTATACTATTGATGTATGCTTTTTCAATAGTTTCTGTATAACCTATGTCTAAATAAGAAATATATATTTATAGTTACAGTTAATCTTAATTGTTCGTAGTGCAAGTTAGTTGATTTATAAGAATACTGTTGACTTTGCAAATCGATGTTGACTGACAGTGACTGATGTTTTATATCAAAGATGAATTCGAAACATTGATACCTAAATTTCCAATTGGTTCAAAGTTCTACAAGATATACAAATTTCTGGCCTTAAGATTTTTCATCACAAACAGGTAATCTAAGAGTAGGTGGTTTTAATTTAGCCTAGATACAAGCTTCTTGGCTTAAACTAATGTAATGTTCCTTAGTTGTCATAAAGCTCTGTCTGTTGAAAGTGATCTAGCATTTAGTTCAGTTAACCGATTAAATTACATCAGATATACAGTGATATGTTGCCTTGATTGATTGTTACAGTGTACAAGAAAAATATGAAATGTAATTAGTTGTATTTGGCCTGTTTTTTACTCGTTTCATATTATGAACCTTCCAATCATTAGTCGAGTTTAAATGCCAGCATCATATTTTGAGTGAAATTTTATAATAATTGTAATTTCCAAAACTGATGCTTTAAAAGCATTACCTGTTTTTCTGAATCTATTCAATAAAATCAAATATGTAAACATAACTCAATGGTATAAGGTATTGGAAGATTTCCTTTTTCTTGTAATTAGTTGCACTCGATTGATCTTTTTCGTAAATTAAGTTTTGTTCTAAGTTGATTTTACTTAAAGGAGTAAAACTATGTTATTATGTAAGGAAATATTCTTTTCATTTGCTCAACATAAAACCATTCTACGAAAAACAAACACTAATAATTCAATGGATTATTTTCAAATTTTCTCTATACTCAGCCAACCAGATGGTTGGGGTATACTGATACCATCTAATCTTTGTGGTGATAACCAACTTTCAGTTGAAATACTCATCATTATTCTAACCATATTCTATATTTTATACTTGCACAGCTAAATCGATCTAAACAATGGCTTTTGTATGTGTTTTTTTTGTTTATTTCCTAATTTCAATGGTTAAGATCATGAGTCAGTTGAAGCTAGACCACCATGGAAAACCTGGAAGCACTGGACGGCCGTTTCGTTTTCCATGGTGGTCTAGCTTCAACTGACTCATGATCTTAACCACTGAAATTACTACAATCTCCGCAAAAACCCATCTGATATTTCCTAATTTGTAAAAGCATATCCAATGATTGAAAATACAATAAAAGTACTTCCAGTTACTATAAAGCTTAGTAAAAATAGCCTTATCCACAAGTCTTTAATAGCATAAGAAGTAAGACAAATATATTTATGAAGCTTCACATCATCTGTGTGCTAATTCAAATTTGGTAAATAAATCACTGTACATATTGCATGAATAAACTGAAATTTACTTGATTAACTTGTCTGATTGTGTAGTACGATTTGATCTCACTCAAATCAATCCTTCAGATATAAATAGGACTCAATAAGTATGTTGTTTCAGACAGTTGATGTTTTTGTATTTTTAAATCATGAAAGATAGAAAAATTTTTCAAATCATTCATTGAAAATAGTTTGTGCAAAGAAATACACCTTAGGCTAGCTCACAATTTCCCTTATATGAAAACTTTCTTTAAATAAACAATGTTGCAGGGCATAATATAAGCGAATGTTTTACCAATTTGTTTCACGTGAAAGCCAATAAATTAAGTTTATCCTATTCACAAAAACTGAATCATCAAATCGTACACTATTTTGGCAATGGACGTTATAAAACTTAGATGGAATCATATATAGTAGACTGATTTTCAGGGTTCATTGGAATGTTAGATGTGCATACAATTAGCAAAATCAATGAGCTACTCATGCATTGTCTGAAACGTTTAATGGAGAGAAGCATTTAACATCTTGTCTAATCTAATCGATTTTCGTGTGATGAATTTTGCAATATAATCATTATGGTAAGCCATAGAATAACATAAATCAGTAAATAAAATAATATGTTGCGAACGATCATTTCGATAAGCGACAGTATTATGCTAATCTTAACTATACAAGGAGTTCAGACAGATGTATTTATCTTATTTTCTTGCTGACGATACATAGCATTAAACATTTTTTGACCTGGGCTTAAATAATAACTGACACTTAGATAATTCAAATGACCATGAACTTTAGGTTAGTGTTATTGTGTACAATAAATTTTTCTACTAAAGAATTCAATTTCTGTTATTTAAAAAAGTTATGTGCAAAGTCTTTATACAATAATACACTTTAATAGTTCGTAGTAAAATCGTACTATTTAATTGGTGAATGTCCAATGTTCGTTTAAAATCATGTTCTTTGATAGAATGTAACTAGAATCGGTTGTTCAAACTAGGATTTTCTTCATTGACGGACTTCCTTGTTTATATAATACTAAAAAGAAATCTAATAAAAATTTTATTTATAATTACCTCGCATTTTAGTGCATATGTTTTTCAACTATATATTGTACGCCTATTTATGCCAATGTGTGTTTACATTAACAACTATTCACTTTTCGAATTGTTGTATTTTAAGATTACTTAAAATCTTTCCATGATTGTATTTGTTTACTCTACTGTCCCAAAAGGGTCAGCTGAATATTTCCATAGGTATACTGCTAAATTAATTAGATTTCACAGAGAGAAAATTTTAGGTATCAGAGTAGAATTTTAACAGTAAAACCAGTTATTAGACGCGTAGAAAGTGATCTTAATGAAGCTACATTTATAGAGTATCTGATATGCTGTGAGTAGAAACCTACTGGCCAGTCGACGAGTAAAAATGACATGCAAATATAAAGTTACTCGAGGTGCCTACTGATTATTGTGTTAACCGTATTGTCATATTAAATTTGTGAAGACTAGTTTCTTTTTCGTTTATTTATAGTTAACTCTCATTCGAACCATTTTATTAGACACAAAAGATAGTTGACACTCTCGTGGTCTGCATATACTTACATTCGGATACAATTTGCAGATAATTATCCCATAACCCCATTTCGTTGAGTGATTAACAAGTGCAAACAAAAATATGAGGGGATAATTATATTGAGAAGCTTTTTAAATGAAAAGAAAAAGAGTTTCCTTATAGATCACTTTTTACCTTTCCTAATCTAAAAAAGCCATTATATATTTGAAAATTCATAAACAGCATTAAAAAAGTTGTACTTATTTTAATCTGATTACTTTTTGAGTAATACATTGTTAACTTAAATTATCTGTAAGTCGATTAGACACGAAAAAGGTATTAATATCAGTAGTTCGCTTCGGCAATACCAGTATAGTTACACTTATTACTTAACGTTAAGAGTTTGAATTTCATGCTATAGGTCAAAAACATAAAGCCCTATATATCTTATCCACTAATTGAGTGAAATTTATTACTTTCTAACAGTTGCAATCTGATCACACTTATAGATCATGAAACCTCCAACACTATCTCATAATCATATGAGCGCAGTATGCTTCTCGTTGTTCAAAAATCGGGGAATTTCGCCAAAAGGCAGGCTTCCACTCGAGAATAACCTTATTTTCTCCACGAGTGCCTACGTCAGCATATTCTGCCCACACTGACAGATCATATGATAAGTTGAAAAAATCAATAAATGGTTATAATATGCACGAAAACATTATTTTAAGTAAGGGCAAGGCTAGCAGTACTTTTAAAACTGTTGTTAAACATTATGGACTTCATTTACTTTTAGCTGTACAATCGTATTTTTTGTTAATTTGTTAAAATAGTAGTCTATAGCCGAATAGAATATTTTTAAAACTTAAAGTGGCATAAATTCACTTGAATCTTCCCTTTGATATTTGGGACTGCAATTGACCAGTCTCTTATTGATATATGTGCGTCCTGTGCGGATTGCCTCGATTTAGCCTTAAGTCACAAGCTTATTAAACAAAGATGGATAGTGGCTATCAGTGGAATGTAGGACATGCGTTTCGTCATAGTTGGGACTCGTCAGCTGGATGTACCTGCATCTCAGAGTTGATGTTCACTCTGGTGGTATCTTGTCGTGAATTGTTTATGAAAATCAGATATTGAAGAGTAGTTATGTAATAATCGGTGATTGAAAAGTGGTAAGGTAAAAGTAATTGTCCATTTGAGAACTATTAGAACAGAATAATTAAAAGTTGTAATACTTGCTAGTTAATAGTTTTGAAAATAATTAGAGAGGAGTAGAGATAATAAAATATAAGAATTAAAAAATAAAAGATAGAAAGGGAGGTTAAGACTATGGAAAAATGGGGGGCTGAACATACTGCTTTTATTTGTAAAGATTAGGCTTGAACTGGTGGATAGCAATAGCCTCTGCTATACATACGTTTTTCATTTGCATTACTATTTGGCCAACTCTACTGACTGCATCTATGATTTTGAAGCAAGCTAGTGGTGAAGTGGAGCGACTAAAATTGACTAGGTACTCCAAGATTGAGCTTTTGACTGACTCCTGTAAACCTTTGGAAAACCAGGCAGGGTAATGTTCAGAGATACGTTCCGAAAGAGCTCGTTTTGTGCGGCCGATATAACCTGCCCCATATGAGCAAGTAAAGTGTTACATGAAAACTGGTTTAACCCAAATCGGGAGCTTATTCTTCATACAACTTCGAATCGTAGGTCGATTAGAAAACATAGTACGAAGTTCAGCTGAATATAACTTTGTTTATATATCTCGAAAGTCTATTTTTCAGAATTTCTGCCGTAGTATCTCCTCTAAACTAGATATTTATGAAGAGAGTCTTCGATGTTATAGACACTTTCATATGGTTGTTTCGGCTTCAGGTTTTTCTCAATGAATCTAGGTGGGTATTCATTGTCGATCAATATCTGCCGCAGTTCATCAATTTCAATATTGATTGTACCCTCAGTACATATTTATTTAACCCTCGTACATAGAGGATGGGTCATGTTTCTCTTTTACTTCAGTGTGACTCGACTTTGAACAGTCGTGTATTGACCATTCCATGTTGGCTTTCTACATATCGATCTTTATAGAGAACCGTTAGGTCTTTTTTTTACTAAA